GAGCCAAGCAGCGGCCCTGGGATGCAGCCCTCTGCTCTGCCACTGCTTTGCGGGAGAGATAAGAAGTAGTAACATATAAAAGGTGGCTGGAAGATGCCAAGGCAAAAGGAAAAAAAAAGGCAACTAAGAATAAAAGAGAAAAAGAACTGAAAGTTACAGTGCAGGATATCTTGTTCCCTGGATTTGGAACGGAGCTCTAAGAGTTGGGGTTTTGTTTCCTCTCTTTTCCCATTAATAGGACAAAACAGGGATTGAATACAAGCTAAAACAGAGGATACAAAGCAAGAAGAAAGCTCCAAGGGGACGGAGAGGAGGCAATGCTGGACAACACCGAGTTGGGCCAGGCAAGGCCAGCCACAAGCAGACTGGGAGAAACCACGGCGCTGGGGCGAGGGAGCGCGGTGGCAACGCCCGTGCATCGCCCATCACCTCAGGGCTGGCACCAAGCTGCTCCCGGTGCAACTCAGCGCGTTGCTTATGACTGCAGGTGGATCTTCACATGTGGACACAAGCTTCAGAAAACCACAGACGGGACCAGCACCTCATCCCCTGCTCTCCCGTGCAATCCCCAGCACAGTTTCTAGTTCAGCCCATTTCCCGAGAGCCCCCGGCTGCTGACGGGACCAGGCGCTTTGCAACCTCCTCTGTGAGAAACCATCATCGCTACGTTTGCAGATGCGCAAAACCTTTTCAGGAGTATTGGGGAAAGCAAGCTCCGTTTGGGCCCATTGCCCTCGCTTCTGGGGAGGGCTCCCTCAACCTCGTGCGTGGGGCGGTTTTCTCACCGAGGCAGATCTTTAACTGTTTTCCCAAAGTCCGGATCCGATGCTTTTTTGTGGCTCCCATCCTTTAGCTGATGAGCCTCTGACACCCTCATAACGATGTACCGCTGGGATCCTGCAAACGAGAGGCAAACGGGAACAAGCAGCACATGAGACCTGGGACGCGGATGGTTCCGAACCGGTGGATTTGCAGAGGCAAAATGCAACGCGACATCCTCCCTCCGCCAACGGCTGCAAGGCAGGAGCAGGGAAACAGGAAATTTTTTTGGTAGGAATTACAATTTCAACACTGGAAGCTCTTCCTCTGCCCCTGTGTCCCCAGTTCGAGATGTGTGTAAGGATGCAAGCCCCAAGGCGAGCCCCCCAGCCCCAAATCCGAGCTGCGGTGGGGTCACGTACCTGGCAGGCGCTGGGGGTACCCCAGGATGGGGATGGAGATGAGGAGGGAGGCTGCTCCGGCCCCGAGGAAGCCGATCCACCATGCCCCCACCCACAGCGTGTTCTCCGGGGTGATGTCGATCCTGCAAGAGAAGCAGCCGAAAGGACACAAGGGAGAGAGGAGGTGGTTTGCAGCGGAGCGGGACAGCTCGGCGTGCCTCTGGGTGCAGATGGCAGGGGTCGGGGGGACACAGGGTGGGGTACGTCAGCGAAGGAAAAGGAGCTCTGGCCTCTCCCATAGTGATCTACTGGGGATGCCACGTCCACCATCCCTGCTGCCACACCAGAGCGCTGCCTGCCTCGCCGGGGAGCACTACACGAAACGAGCCCCGGCAACAACACCCTTTAATTCTCCTTGAATCTCTGCCCTGCACATTCACCTCTCCCCATTTCATTCACGCTTCGGGGGTTGCTACAATCCTTGTTCCACCCCAGAGCCACCCTTTGCAAGAAAACTGGTGGAAATAACCCATTCCATCCCCTGGAAACCCAGTCCTCCTTTTTAACCCCTTCATCTGCCAAGAAGCCTGTAGGGAGATAAGAATAAATTACAAGTACTAGGAAGCCAAGAGGGACTAAGCATCCCGGGTGGATTACCAGGAGGACGAGCAGCACTGCTGGTAGCGTTGCATCATCGGGGAACTCATTCAAGAAATCCACCTGCTGCTCGTAGCCTCATTAGCGCAGGCACAGCAGCGTGAGGACGGATTTAAGCTGACGGGTTTGTCAGCATTTTTCTTCCAGCAACAGCACTACTGCAAGCCACCCTTCCAGCCTCGGCCCCCCCGCAGAAACACCGCTGAACACCATGGGCACATTTCCACCCAGCCACCAGGTCTTTTCTCCAGAATATTATTATTATTATTTTTACCCCAACATATAGCACAAAGGAAAAGGAACAAGATTATTTTTTAGCAACTTACTCTCTGCCAATTTCAGTATAAATATTTAGAAACATTCCTCCTACCAGATAACCCGCTGCAGGCCCAAGGATTGCAGCAGTGTAGAAAACAGCTGAAAGGGAAAACAAGCCGCGTTATTGAAACGGCAGCGTTTCAGCCAGGGATGCTGCGGAACGCTGCTGTGCCCAGCACCGCTTGCCCCACCACAGCCCGGTTCCCTCCTGGATCCGGGATGCTCAGTCTCCTGCCGCCTCCCACCCCGCTCCCGGCCACTGAGAAACAGAGCCAGACAGTTCTAACAAGTTTTCATCTCGCACTATGTCCCAGGGAAACTTTTGCAGCCAACCTGGGAATTTTTACAGCATGGAGCAGGCAAAATTGGTTCAGTCAAAAAACGTATTTATGTAGTTACTGTTTTCTCATGTAACAGGGATGTAGCTGACCCCGCTGCCGCGTCCCGGCTGCCGGTGTGACAAGCAGTGGCGTTGTCTGCCCTCGGACAACACCCAATGTCTGTGCTAAACGTGGCACCGCTGGCACTTCTCTTGGTTTGCTGCCGTGGAAAGATCATCAGCTTACTGATGACCTCCTCCTCTCCCTGCACAGCCTTCCGACACACCAGTATGGGCAGACGGCTAAATTCTGAAATTGCTAAAAGGTCAGCCCTTTCAGCATTCTCTCCCAATAGGACAGTATTTGGCAGCTGCTAAGCCATCAGTGATACAGAGCGGAGTGAGCTGAGCCTCTTCCCTCGGTGAAGCTTGGCTGAGCTATGCACCAGCAGCATCCAAGCAGCCCTGTGACCATCCCTGCTGTGCTACAGCACTAAAGGGGTGATGTCCCCTCGCACGGACAGGGTATGGCCTGTGACTGTCATCTCTGTGGTCTATGGCTCTCATCTCTGGTCATTTGCCAGAGATGATCATGCCGTGCACATGCTGGGGCAGGCTGGAGGGGTCTCCCCAGCTGGCCCCGTGCCAGGAGCAGGAGGCACGTCCTGATCCGCAGGGCATGCGCTGCAGCAGGGAAAATACCCAGCTGCACTGCCAGTTCCTGCCTATAAACAATCAAACCCTCCCCAACAGCTGCTGTTTCCCTCTGATTACCACCTCGCCCGTTATTTGGAACAAAAAACTGGGTGCGCTGCTCGTGACACCGCTCAGCGTGGCGTGTTCGGTGCCGAGGCAGATGGACCGGCTCTCCCTCCCACCGCCCAGCCCAGGGGTCCAAGCTGCTCCTCCATCTCGACTCACCAATGTACACAGGGGAGTAGTTAGTCTTGACGTTTTCATCTAAATAGGTGACACCGAGCGTGTAGAGCGGCGTGGCTCCCATCCCATGCAAGAATTGCCCCAGCATGAAGACGAACCTGTAGCTGGAGAGGCTGGAGGCAGCCTGGGCGCAGGGCAGGCTCTGGTTCCCCCCGCAGACGCCCACCTCCGCTGCCGAACGCACCTCGTACCGTCCCGTGGTGAAGTGGGGCAAGGCAAAGAGCAGGGAGCCCAACAGATGGGACCCGACCCCCTGACCAGCCCCCCCCAACCCAGCCATCGCGGCTTGTGGCCGTTCCCCCCAAAATAGCTGACGAAGGTCAGGCAGACGCACGCCGCGATGTCGTAGGAGCTGGCGATCAGCCCGCTCTGGTAGCTGCGGAGGTCGAAGCGTCGCTCGATGGAGGTGATGACCGTGTTGATGAAGCCGTTCACCGTCATGCCTTGCAGGAAGGAGGCCACGCAGAGGAAGAACAAGACGCCCTTGGATGTGTTAAAGAGCTGTAAGCAGCCGGGGGTGAACCCCCCCCAGCCGCACGCCAGTTCCTCCCCTTCGGCCGACACGTATTTAATCCCTTCGTTGAACTGGGTCTCCTCCTCTCCCGGGGTGGTGGAGCAGAGGGGCTCAGCGCACGAGTTGGAGGGGCTGGGGACGCCGGAGGACGCGGGGCCGTTGCTCAGCGGGGGGCC